TTTAACATAACTACGGATAATTTTCACTATATTTCTATTGACCCGTTCCGCTATATTTGATTGCGACCGATACGGGACCATTTTTAAATGACGTATGCCCAGTTTTTGGCACATGTCTTCAAATACATTACTTACAAATTGAGGACCATTATCCGATATACCTTTTAGGGCGCCCCGTATTTTAAAATATATTTATTTAAAATAGAATCAGTAGCTAATTTCGCGGAGGCTCGTTTTTAAGGGAACAATTTCGGTCCACTTACTAAAATGATCAAACCATAACAAGGAGATAGCGACTTTTATTTAACTGACATTTTGGGAAAGGGCCCAATAAATCGATGCCAATTATTTCATTTGGAAATTCGGATTTAATACTATTTAGAAACCCGGCCGGGCGGAAATTAATATAATTAACTGCTTGACATGTTGGGCAGGACTGGACATACACCCTTGTTAACTTTTGCAGTTCAGGAAAATAGACTGCCTCGCGTACGCGTTGGATAATTTTTCGAATACCAGCATGAGAAGCTAAAGGGCTGTCATGGAGCTACTGCAGGATAGTTTAATCTAAGACTAGCTGGGATAACAGGTTGAAATTCGTTGTTGGAGTTCGTAGTTTTTGTATAAAATAATAGACCATCTCTTAGTTCGTAATGGGCCGCCCTATTTCTTATCGCCACAATATCTTGGTGGCTAAAATTTTCAGGATCCTTTAAATACTCATAAATATTTCCAAACTCAGGATCCTTACCCAGTTCGGTTATTACAGTTTCTCGGGAATTTATTGTACATGCTGTGAGCATTGCCACCTTTACGGTATTACCTTCTTCATCTATTTTAATTCTGGATAGGGCATCTGCTACGATATTTTCCTTTCCGGGGGTATGCTTGATTACCAGATTATATTCTTGTAGCTTGAGTGCCCATATTATTAACCTTGGGGATAAGTTTTTCCCTGAGTACAATCTAGTTACCGCCGCATGATCAGAGTACACTGTTATTGGCGCCTTTCCAAAATAGACTCGGAACTTTTGCACTGCTAACAAAACTGCAAGTGCCTCTCTCTCGGTCGCGGAATAGTTTCTTTGTGTTTGATTTAAAGTTCGGCTAAAAAATTCCACGGGCTGCTGATTTTGCGAAAGTACCGCTCCTACCACATAACCCGAAGCATCCGCTGAAATTTCTAAATTCTCATCCTTTTCAGGAAATTTCAACACAGGGGCTTGCGTTAATGCTTGTTTTAATTTTTCGAAAGCACTATTGGCTTCGGCCGTGCACGAGAATCTTACCTTTTTCCTTTTTAATTTTAACAATGGTTCAGCAATAGCTGCAAAATCTTTTATAAAGGACCTATAATATGAACAAAGTCCTAGAAAAGAAGAGAGCTTCTTCGCCGTGGTTGGAGTCGGATACTTTTGTACAGCAATTATTTTTGATTCGTCTGTCTCGATTCTTTTTTGAGATAATTTGTAACCTAAATATTTTAATTCAGGGGCTGCAAATTTGCACTTTTCGACATTAACTTTTAGACCGGCCTCATTTAATAAAGAAAACACCTGTCTTAAATCCTGTACATGTTGGTCGAGATTATCACTAGTAATAATGATGTCGTCTAAATAGATAAATGTGGACTTTCCAAGAACAGGTCTTAACACAATGTCCATGCATCGCTGAAATGTTGCCGGGGACCCTGAAAGGCCAAACGGCATACGCAAAAATGCATGTGCCAGACTTGGTTATAAAAGCAGTCTTAGGCACGTCCTCAGGCCTAACCCCTATTTGAAAATAACCAGTCGTTAAGTCTAAAGTCGTCATATATTTGGTGGATGTTATGTTCCTTAGAATTTCTTCAATAATAGGTAACGGATATACCGGATATTTAGTTATGGAGTTTAATTTACGGTAGTCAATTGCGAATCTCCACCTTTTTGGATGTGTCAATAGATAGTCATTATTTTTCTTACATAAAACCACCGGGCTAGCATAACTACTTGAGATGGTCGTTATGATCTTTTTACGTAGCATATCGTTGATATGCCATTCTATAATTTTTTCCTTATTCTTATCATACCGGTATGCTTTGTGTCGAACTGGCATGGAATCTCCGGTGTCAATACTATGGTTAGTAACCTGAGTAAATCCTTTAATATCACTAAATAACGAAGCAAATTCACTTACCACTTGTCGGATTCTTCGTTGCTCTTCATTAGGCAGGTGGTCAAGGTTTAACATCGGCGGCTCAGCCTTTTCTTCACGAGCTGGTTTCATTGTCAGCTTAAGGGACGCTTCATTAAAATCTAGCGTTGCTTGTGCCTCTGAAAGAAAATCTATTCCTAAGATAATATGTGCTTGCAGATTCTTTACTATGAAAAACATAACCTTTACTTGTTCGTCCTTGATACGGACATACAGCGGTAATTTACCTATACACTTACATCTTTCTCCTTGCGCAGCTAACACTGTCGTATTATCCGAATTATATATACGATATTTACGAAAATACTTCCTAAAAAAATCTTCTGGCACACAGGAACACTGCGCTACTGTATCCAGGAGTGCGGTGGCTGGGATATTATTCACCAACACTTCAATCTTCGGAAGAGTCAAATTTTTCACCATTACTGTATTTAAGTTGAAGGAAGAGGGGATTTCGTGGCCTTCGGATTTCCGCACCCTCCCGTCAGCAGAAATCCGTTTTAGTTTAAATTATTTTTCATTTCCGTGCTTTCCTTCTTTTTCCACTGGCCTTGAGACTTTTTTCCTGGATTGCTATTGAACTGTCGACGTTCGCCGGCGGTTTTTGAATGCTCGGGTTTCCTTGCCCACTGATTCGCTTTGCTTCCGTAGCCGTGTGCTTGAGCTTGCTGTAGTCTTGGCGCACCAAATTGGTTTCGCTGTTGATATTGGCGTCTTCTTTCAATGTCCGCCGTTCTTCTATACTTTCAAACTGGATTGCTAGCTCAAATAACTTTTCCAGTGTAGTCGGATTTCTTAATTCAATAAAGTCTTGCACTTGGGGGCAGTAACCCTCGGCAAAATCACTTGAATTATCTCAGGATCCGGACGGTTTCCATACAAGAGTTGAAGACGTGAATTTTTCTTAAAATAAAGCTTGAGAGATTTTCGATTCTTTGCTTATATATACTGAAAAGTTCCGTTTCTAATTTCGCACGATCCCTTACAACAGGGAAGGCTTTTACTAGGGCAGTCTTGAAATTCTCGTAAGTATAGGTGGGACTTCCTGACCCAAGAGACTTCTGCCTATACATTTGAACCAGTTAAGCGCTTGGCCCCTCAAATCGCTGGTAGCTAAGGTAACTTTTTGAAATTCGTGCACGGGGTAGAGCATGAAGTGGTCATCCAATTTTTCCAAAAAACTGGTTACCGGTGAGTTTCCATTAAATGTTGCTTCTGGTTTCATCGAAGCGCGCATGGTCTGGACGATGTAACCAAATTCTTCCAGGACGGCAGCTGGCATTTCTGGATTCTGAGCCGCTTTTGCAGGCAGCACAGGTTCTTCTTGAAACTCGGCCATGGTTATTTTTCTTCGTTGGGCGCCACTATCAGGATCAATGTTCCGTCTTACTTTCTTTGGGAACATGCAAGGACCTGACTCGGAACAGAGCTTACTAAAGCTATGTTCAATAACTGTGGGAAGTAGACAGGATACACAAGAAGGGTATACAAAACCCTTTATTTTTCTCTATTTACAATAACTTCCGTACTTCGGAATACAAAGACCCACTACTTGTGGTCTAAACGTAAAAATATAAAAATAAAACTAAACTCTAATTTAACACTAAAAATAAACGTGGAAGAAGGGAAGATGGCCTTATATTAACAGGAAGCCGTATGTAGTACAGAGAACTGTTAACACTACAATACGTTTAAAAAGTATCAAGAGGATTAAACCTCTGGCCTGGAAGGCAACCAGCAACTGAGTAAAACTTCTAAGGTAAGCGGCCTGCTTCGACTAACTGCTTCCTCTCTCTCTCTTGGCAAAAAGCCACAACTTAAATACTTGGCGTTCGCCAGACAAACTTTGCATAAATACATTAACGCTTATAATTCTGGCCGGAAGTAGAAAATAAGAAGTGATAGTAAAGATTTAAAATAAAATAAACGTTAGTAAAACTTAAGATCCTTACAGCATGATTGAACAGTTTGGCAAACACTGTTTTAAATATACTGTAATTATATACAGAAAACAAAGGATGGTCTTCTTTGAGAGAATTGCTGAAATGTAAAATATTTTGCGAGTTTACACATATATATTGTTACGAATTTTGTACTTATAGATGATTTTAATGCAATTATTGTATTCTGCTGTAACACGAAAATTGTTAAGAGAGAAGCTGAGCCGGAAAAGTAAGAATACTGGGGCAATCGGTTTAACATTGAGTAAATGAGTATCTCGGTAATTTGGGGAGAAATCGCCAACAGTCGCCAAACTTCGGGACCATTTGAGACATTTTGGTCCGTTAAATGTATGAACGTAATAGATATTGTAATTGAATAAATGTAATTGATCATTCTATTAGCTGTAAGCGTAATTCGACCCTTATATTCCCTTCCAGTAATTTCGAGAAGTAGAAAGTACTAGAAATATCTCGACGGCCGGTTGAAAACTATATAAGGCCGAAAATAGCATTTGTTGTCAGTTGCTCTGTTACTGTTATTGCGAGTTGTTAGTTCCGCGTGAACTTAAATATATTCAAGTTAGCTTTCTCTTTAAGTGTGCTTTAGTTTGCGTTGTGTTTAACGTTAGTTTAAAGTGTAACTACTAATTGCATTCTGTGAAACTTTGAACACTTGTACGAGTATTTTTGTGGAAAATTCCAGAACTTTGAGTTGTTTTTATTTGATAAAAATACATTTTATTAACTTATCATCGGACCTGTGTGCATTTAGTCTATTACAAACCCGTACGCACGCAACACTATGTTATATCTATAAATATATTTAAAAAGGAATGGAATAAAATGAAAAGACGCACTCACCTAGCAGAATTGGTTCCCCGCATGAATAACATGTCTTGCAGAATATGTCACCATAACATTTCATACAATACCAGCAGCCTTTAACACTCTTAAATGGTTTGTCGGAGATTTTAACAGAACATCTACTGCAAATGAAGCAATTCTCATGGTAAGGTTGTTTGTTATACATAATGCCACGATTATCCGTAATAGCATAATGACATTTGAAACATCGGACGCCGAAGTTTCTCAAATGGCAAGTTTTGCAATAGATCATATCAGCATGAGGAATGAAGCTACCACTTCCGATAATATCTCCACAATCTATACACTTGAAGCAAGACAAATGGTATGCTTTGTCCTGTAAATGACACAAGAAATAAGATTATGTAAACTCAGGGCTTTTTTTAGGTATAAAAGATTTTGCTTTTCTATAATGTCAAGCAGAGATTTGGCAAAAGAGTTATCCTCATAAAAATTTTAAAACATTTAATCTCAATGATTAAGCTTTTTAAGTGTATATATATATATATATACATATAAATATATAATTAAAGGGGAATACCATTAAAAATTCTATTATTTAAAATTAAATTAGGAGAATTGCAATTGGTGTTTAATTTCTAATTTACAAATTCGTTATTTTTAAAGTAATATTACTTTTTTTTAAAAGTATTAAATAGTAAATGTTAAATTGGTATGGAAAAATTACTTTACTAGCAACAGCCAATAGTATTGGCACAATTATATGCATAAAATTATATGCACAATTAGGTGCATAAAATTGTGAAAATGTTTTTAATGAATTAAAAATGAACGACAATAGGGTAGTGAAATAATACCGATTCTCCAGCGGGAATTAGCTTATTTCACACTCCCTTCCGTATATATATATGACGATATTAAATTTTAAATTTGTAGTTCATGTTATGTTCCAAACAACCAAATAAATTCAGAACTGGTACTTCTCAAACTGAAACATTTGTTTAATATTAAAACTGAAACGAACTTAGAAACATCATAAAAATTATATTTAATTAAAATGAGAGAATGTTTTATATAATCTATATCTTATCCGTAAAGTATTAAGAGAAGATCCAGAGCCATAAACGATGATTAATTTGACATGCCGTATTTACTTACTTAATATTTGAAGCTTTATAATGATATCTTGGTAACTTTAAAGATGACATTATGATGCTTCTTAGATAACTTTAAAATGCATCTGAAGTCTAATTGTGACTTCGAATTTTACGTTATAATAATTTAGCTGTCGCTGTCATCATTTATCTTTTGAGAGATACAGATTTTAGGTTTGCTATGGTATACCATTGAATTGGCCTCAGGAATTAGTTTCAATTTCTTTGAAAGAAAATGTTATTTAAATTTTTGTTTAGATGCGATTATCAAACTAACTAATAATTGAAACTGCAGAGCATCAAAGTTTGGAATGGTACAGTCTGTTACACGGTTAAATATCTAGAGACAGTCAAATGTCGCATTAGTAAGTCGAGATTAAGTCAAATGATATATTGTTCTTTTTAATAAGCTATATTCGATGTCTCTAGCAAATATACCCTTAGAGAGAATTAGAACTCATATTGTTTGAATTCCGGATGTTCAAAACTCCATTTATAAGAATCTCTTATTCTTTTTCTCTAAATTAAGTGAAATTTTCCATTAGCCATTTTACATATATTTAATTCTTTTCTTTGATTTAAATAATAGAAAAAGATAATACAGTATGGTACATTTTTAAGAAATTAATCTCATTAAAACACAGAATGAGTATAAAATATAAAAAGTATTACAATAAATCATGTTGCAAATTTTATAATTTTACCATTTTAGAAAAAAATAATGACTCTCTTAATTTCAAAATAGGAGTAAGCTATGCGCTTCATTTTGTTCAAATAAACCAAAAATAATAATTATATTACTTCCTTTTTATGCGATAAAAATAAAAATAAAATTATGTGTTTAGTTTCCGGATTTATGAAGGATCTAGTTCTGAAATTCCACACTTGATAATCTTGATAATCATAACAAATAAAACATGAAATTGCATTACAACTCTGAATAATGGTAGGGAAAACATAAAATTTTAGAAACCGTACGATTTTAGTGAATTTAACAAAGATCTACAATACGTAAACAAACACTACAGCTTAATTGCCATAAACTATGAGGACTGAGATTGTTTCGTGATAGAGCATTTTAGCTCTAGCTTTACCTCCTGAACATCTCCACTGGCACAAGGATGCAATAATTCTGCCAAACTTCCATTTCAAGAGCGTAGAAAACAAATTTTCTTCTTTTATTAATATTAAATGATATATATTTTCAAGTTCGATTTAAATTTACACACTTTTGTCTTTGCTGTAACTGAGAGAGAGAATCTGAAAACCAATGTTTCCAAAAACTTTGAAAAAGACTTAATTAATTTCTATCGCTTGGTAAGAAAAATTTTAGAAGTTGGTGCATCATAATTAGGCATTGAATCATAACAACTCATAGAAATGGTCAGGTATAAGAGCACTCATATCGTTAGGATCATTGAAGAGAGCAACAATGGGTTTTGAATTTAAAAACGAATCTATTTCAGTTATTAAAGTGACGAACATTTCATAAGTTAAAATTCCGTATGCCAGTAGTTCTTTTAAGATTAACTTTCATTTGCTTGACGTAAGGCTTCCAAAGGCCCCCAAAATGGGAAGCTGAAGTCGGGATAAATTTCAATTAATAATTTCTTTCCCGAGATAACTCTGAATGCTTTCACTAGGCAAATATGATTTCACAATTTTTCTTAAATCTTGACCAGTTTTCACAAAATTTTTACTTCTGCCAGAAAATATATCTCGAGGCCTTTCTCTGTGGGCAGAGAATCTTGTAAACGATGCTAAAGTTACTTCAGAAGATTGAATAGTCTTTGGAGCAAAGCAATATAAATAGACAAAAAAAGAAATACTAGATTGGGTTTACACATATTTCTCTTCTGCATGAGAAATGGATCAAAAAATCAATTCCAACTTTGGAAAATAACCTGTCAGGCACCAAGCGAGTAATTCGTTTCCTGTGGTACAGACGAAGAAAGATAAGTAAGATCAGAACTTCTTGTGGACCATTTCTGGCCATTTACAGTCCTACAGAGTGATGAACAAGCGAAACGAGAAGGTTAGACAGAGCGTGATTTCGCTAGTTAGCGCGCCAGTTCTGCCCTCCAGCTGCTAATATTAGTTGCGTTTACGCATTATGGCCCTTTATTATGTCTATCGTCAGTGTAGGCTGTTGAGTCAGTCTGTTAGCTTTAAGTAAATAGTGTAGTCTAGCACTACTATTTACCATTTTGAATTTATTGTTAAATTATCCTTAAGTTCCTCGCCGCAAGTAGCCAAGTAATGTTATTGTGAGCACGAAGTACGTGCCTTTTTGTTAAAGAGTTTTAGAATAAAAGGGCCATTTACACCCTTCTTCTGTGCTGCTAACTCTTTCCTATTATGATCTAGTCACTTGCATGACAGCGAAAAGAGTGAAATCTTACAAATGTCCCTCATCGAGGTCCAGATGCCCTTTACCTTTGTTTTAGAATCATGATGGTCAGAAAAGAAAGCCTAATTAGAAGGGCTCCTTCGATAGCAATTTCTAGTGAATGTCGATCCAAGAAGTTCCTCATCTTAAGTTCCGCTTCATAACTTTGAAATCCGGGTTAGTTACTCAGCATAAAAATGAAACATTTTATTGTTGTGTAGCAACAATATGACGACCATCTTCCTGCATTTGGTGATGGAGCCCGTGTTCTGGGATTCTCAAGGATTTCCCCCAGCTTTGTGGAACATAAAAGCAGACATCTCAAATAGGGAAAAGCACGGTAATCAGAGTCCTTACTGAAAGTTAAGCAACAGTGACAAAACAAAAGGGCATGTGGCAAAATGTCCAAACATTCTGGACTAAAATCAGGAACACATCTTTTGAGTTTTCGACAGCAGTGATTTTTGTTAATTCTTTTACTAGCTGCTCTATCCAGAGCTGAATCTAGGAGGTCTGCGCCTGAAAAATTATGGTAGCCGGTGAAACCGCAACCTGCATATAAGCATCCTGTTCATGATTTTGCTTTCTTCTCTGCCTTGGTCAACTGTAGCAACCTAATAAATTGTGGTGCTCTCACGCCCATTGTTCTGGGAAGTCCTAATTTCTTCCTACATTGAAGAAATTCCTCAATAGAAAATCTGTATTTAAATAACCAAGAGAGACTATCAGAGAAGTTGTATTTATGATGGTACCTGAATATGAATGATCAATTAACTATAAAACACCTTTTTTTTTTAACAGTGCCTAGAAACATTCGCATATAATCTAACAGCTTAAAGGGAAAATACCATGTATACTACCATCTTCTTTTCCTATGACTTGTTATACTATTTAATAAATGATAAATTATAAGTTTATTCTGAGGCAAAAAATATGTTAAAAGAATGTATAGATTCTCCCCTTGTTTGTGTATGTAGGCCATGTGATAGAACAGATTCAAACCTGGTTTGAAAAATTCAATTTTTAAAATTGATCCAGAAGCGCAATCTTTATTTTTTGAGTTTGTAATAACTGATATTATTTAGCAAAAAATCATAAATTTTCAACACCTTACGTCGAGAAAAACATTTGAATATTTTATAGGTATTTGATTTTGAGAAAAATTGAATTATGACTCCAACAAAATAATTATCATACTGTGGGATTATGTTTGAGTCTCACTAATCAATTTGATTTTATTTAACATCTTTCCTATTGTCTCAATTTGTAACGGGCTCGCTCTTTTCAGAGATTATGTAGATTTGAATGGCAAACAGTCTAGTAATACTTTGTAGCCGTACGTGGATCTGTGTTAACTTTGGCTGTCTGCCCGTCCAGCTTGTCACTCTGCGAATAGCCGCTGCTTCGCATAATTTTCTCGCTCTTTCGCTCTTTCCAGCATGTTTTCGTAAGGGAACTTTGGCATACTTGGCGCGTATTCGAGAGGTCCAGGTTCAAGTCCCGGCGAGGGCACTGCATATTTTTCCCTACCCCTGCTTTAAAAAAAAAAAAAAAAAAAAAAAAAAAAAAAAAAAAAAAAAAAAAAAAAAAAAAAAAAAAAAAAAAAAAAAAAAAAAAAAAAAAAAAAAAAAAAAAAAAAAAAAAAAAAAAAAATAATGACTTTACAGTGGCGCCCGAACTAAAAGATGGTGGGCAATAATTTCTCACCACTATAATTTGGCAACTGGGTCCTCTAGTCGCCAGCCGCCCTTTAAAAAGGAGAGTATATAAGGTTATTTTCTCCCTTCTTTCGAGCATGACTTCGTAGTGCAACGGTAGCACACCGTTACTGTGCCAATTGCCTCGGCGCGTATTCGAGAGGTTCAGATTCGAGGAAAGGATATTGCTCATTTTTTCAAGTCTCCTGCTTAAAAATAACCTAATGACTCTACAATTGTAATTTCAAGGTATACTTGGGTGATAAGTTAAGATTTTGAGAACTGTTCATTTCAGTAGCTGTTATCGGATCCTCAACTTTGCAGCTTCTCACACAAAATAATTATGTATTGTAACTACAAGATTTTCAAAGGCTAGTTTTTTTTTTGTTCACCATCAGGTTCAGGCAGGTGTTACAATATATTCATCTTACATAGTAAGCATCTTGTTCTTTTATTATGGCGTAGAGTATTGAAAAGTAACACAGAAGACAAATGAAAGTGATAACAGCAAAAAATATCAGATTATCAGCACAGCCTGTGAAATCTGAGCCAATGATATCTCAGATTCACAGGCTGTGCCTTTGTAAAAGACTGGTCACAAATGATCTGCTTTTTCAGTTATCAAGCACATAAATTTCGGAAATATTTTATGAAAATTCATTTCATAGTTATATAATCTCTAGATGAACATAATCGTTTACTAATATGCGCCTAATCTTTGTTTATTGGTAATTTTTTTTATTCAATTAGCTTATTATGTATTGCTGCTCGAAGGGTATCCTCATGGTATAATATCTGCGCTGCGATTGTTCAATACAAGAAATAAGAAATCACTAAATTTGTTAGTTTATTTTTATTCCACCTAAGGTAAAAAACGTTTCTATTTTCTATTCATTTATACATAGATATTTACCTTCATTTACTTAGAAGGTAAGATAATTTTAGTGTCATGCGTGATGAAATTTTAGTGAAATCAAGTTAGTCTACTTCTTCATACTTATTTCATCTTTAAATGTTTGGCGTAACTTAGCTTTCCTTATCTAACCCATCTTACTTGAACTTTCGAAACCCTTCATCTTAACATAGAAGGTAAATGCTTACTATAATTTAAAAATTAATTAGTGATTTGGGAGGATCCTTTGAAACGCGGAGCGATTCCGATTTGTACAACCACCGTGACTGAGACTTGTGCAACCAAATAAATCCGTTTTAATCGTCATTTTAAAACTAAAGACATGTACTGAACATATATACAGAAAGAACTCAGAGAAATTCTGTTTGGTACTGCTTGTAGACTTCACTAAAACTCATAATTAATACAAAGCGTCCACGACCATTTGCAGGTTGTATAACTTTATAAGAATACAAATAAAATTATGCCTGCGAAACTTCGGATGCAATTCTTCTCTATCTAGTGCTAAAGTGTTTACATCAATCATTAATTTGTATTAGCATGGTAGCTACCTAAACCGTAGGATTCATTGGACGCTTTGTAAACGTCTAGAGTTGCCATTACAAGATCCCTAAATACTAATTGCATTATTATTTAAATTTAACCTGCATACTACATTCGGATGGAATAAAGTTGATAGAAAAATAAAAAGGGTAGAGAAGAAGTAACATAAGAATAATTAGGTAATTAAATAAAAGTTAAATAAATTTAACTGATAGCAGATGCAGGTGTTAGTTAGCTATTGGGAAAGTAATAATATGTACTTATGACTATACTTTGACGCAAAATTGGCTGATTGGAATTTAGAGCAGCGTATTAACACCAGAATTTATAAGAAAATCAGAAAAAGCTCAAACATTAGGACAAGCATTTAAGGATTAGAATTGTTGAAAATATAAAGTGGTGAAGATGCCTTGAAAAAGTCGAATGTGTTTGCGTGGCAAAAGTGATCCAAATTAGGAGATAAGTTTGGATAAATGACGAAAGAAACTGCATTTAGAAGCAATAATAAAGGGCGTTAATGTTAACAGAGTGTGTGATGATATCAAATTATTAAAGTTGAAACTGATAACTGCAGAAATTAAAAGAGGCATAGCTAAGTTGTCTTAAGAATTCGGTATGAGAATATTTTCGCAAAGTTTGCACCTTCCTATACATAGAGACTTCCTGTTCAAAAAAAAAAAAAAAAAAAAAAGTTAACAAATTGCTGTCTAACAGAAGGCGAGACAAGTACTTTACAGTTTCAGTGCTACTTTATAAAAAAACTTAAGTAGTGTATCATAGCATAAAAGAAGTACTTTAAACACGACGGTAACTAGTATGCTGTTTCATACTCATATTTTTTTTTAAGATGCAGCCTTGGAATAAATTGCCACTTTTTGTGTTGTCAATACCTCTAATTTTCTTCAAAATACTTTCAGTGTAAAATTTTAAATTTTAACTCGTTTTTCTCTTCTTCATTTCCTACTAGGGAAAGTATCCGATGTCAGTTAAATTAGATTGATTGCATCTAACAACAAAGAGAACGATACCACTGTAATCCTTCCCTAATAACAATGCAAAAAATACAATTCGTAGTCACACATTTTTCGGTCTGATGTGATATAGAATCTACATAAAAATTTTCGATAGAAAACTAAACTAATTTTCTCTCATTATATCAGCAACAATGGCACACAGTTTTTAATGATTTTCCTCTTTCTAATCAGATGGTCGTAAAAGTTCAAGTTCCATCCAATTTTTCACCTATATTCAATTTTAGTCGATTAAATGTGGCACAAAATTGATCTCATAATTGATCAAAAATCAATAGCGCGAACAAACACACAGACAGACATTCTTCTTTATATATATAGATTTCTGATGAACAAACTGTACAATTTGAAAGCGAGCAGTAGCAACGCTTTTCGAAATAAAGAGTTTTTATCTCCCAAGCGCGAGACTGCTGCTACTCGGAAAAATGAGTGCGAAATTAGTGTTTTCAGAGTTTTAATATCTCGGCTGATTAAAGTCGTACGAAGTTGGGAACAGTTGAAATGCCTTCTCACGGTTTTTGGAATCGGGAATAATGTAATTAATGCTTAGTAAAGCCATTTTTATTTCATTGTAAAACTTAGAAATATTTTATTAACAAACTCTACGATTTGAAGCGAGCAGCGGCAACATTTCTCGAAATAAAGCCGATATTTATCTCCAGCGTGTGAGACTGCTGCCACTCGAAAAAATGAGGGCGAATATTAGAGTTTTCAGAAATTTTAATTAATATCTCTGATTTTAGCTATTTTTGGTTTTGGAAAAAAGTAGACGTCGACCATTCTCAAGACCCAGAAAAGAATTGTAGAAAGTTTAGTGACGATAGCTGTAGTAGTAACTGAGTTAATCGCGAACAAACAAACACACAAACAGACATTCTTCTTTATATATATATAGATTTCGAACTCAATTCCTCCCCTAAATACGCGAGTTTAATGAGCAGGCAAGAGGATATAGAACGTATTATTCGAAAGAAACTAATTCTGTCTGGTATCACCTGTGAGATGTAGGTTCTAATAAATATTTACTATTTACCTATAAATGTTAATTTTCTCGTATACTATTGCGTTATTTCTCTTCGCTGAAAGTTAGTTGATAGTGCAAGTAATGCATAGGTTACTCATAATTCGTGAAAGATTCTAAAATTTCAATGTAAATAAACTATGCCATCGATAGCGAATTTTAGTGTTCTAAAACAGTGAAACTCATCAAGGGTTTTTACATATTTTCCGAATATCCAATGTGTCAATCTTTCCTGCTACGATAGATATGTATAAATCACTAGGCAGATTTCGTTGGACGGAATATATATCGGGCGGAATCAAATATATCTAACTGATGCTATAATGCTATATTTGATTAAAAATAGAAATAATTATCTATTTTAGAAGTTTGGCCTCGTTGTCATAGAGATTATATTGAGATTATTTGTAAGAGTATCTAAATTATAATTATCCATAAAAACCATCTTAGAGAGTTTCTCAATCAAAACTTGCCAAAAAAGTGGGTTTCAGGATCAGGAGATGGTGAGCCAAAGAAATGGTTACTTCAGTCTTCGGGTTTAATCTCATGTGATGGTTTTTTGTTGAAATCACCACTGATCCGCAGGATCTTCACAATTTTATTAACAAAAGTAGATCCTGATATATTGGCATACATGCGAGACAAGAAGGACTCTTACAAAGATATTTGCTGTATCAGCAAACGTGCACACGCTGTACATTTGTGAACTTAGCGAGTTTGTCTCTATTTCAGTGCAATAAAATTTCGTATGAGTTGTACAATGTTGGGAAATTTTAAAATATTTATTTAGAATTATGAATGCACTTCTACTGCCAACAACAACGAGTTGAAGTTAGTAACAAGGAGCTAGCTAATAAAACTAGCTAATAATACTATAGTTTTAAACTAGAAGTTAGCAATCATTGCAGAGAATTTTTTAGCGCATTTCAAGTATAAGTTTTTGCCCACCAGCGGCCGAGCGGTAAAGTCGCTGAACACTGGTAGTTCGGTCCGAGGTTCGAATCCCGCGAACGGGCTGGCTGCATGGGTGTTTTGGTTTTCCCCATGTGTAACGTGTATACGAGCCAGTTTCCCTTAGAAAGTCCTCCACGAAAGGCATCCCTCCCCTTTGGCAGATAGCCCTAGTGTGCTTTGCCGTAATTAAATACACATACACACCAAGTATAAGTTTTGATGAATGTACATTAAAAGTTTTGATGATTTGTATAATTATTACTTAAATTATGATAAATTTTGAAAGTAAAACGTACCTCATACCTAAGTAGTTTTGAGTTAGCTTCAAACACATTTCCGCATTTAGCACAACGTGGACCAAACTGGCTGTTATAGCATTTAACGCAATACAATTTATCTTCACGCATTTCAAATGGACCGTCTGAGAGCAAATTGTTGCAAACGTCGCAGTTGAAACAATTGTAATGCCAATACTGATCCTAAAAAAATAAATACATACATTTACTTTTGAAAATTTCCTAATTATGTACCCAAATTCATGGATTGTGATTACGGTTCGTGGATTAGGAACGGTTGTGCTTTCACATCGTGATTCCAGTTATTTGTGATTTAAGATAGATAAAGCTTTTGCTGAGACCTTAAGAAATGAATGATTTATATATTAAAAGAATCGAACCAATTAGGAATGGAGTTTAAGATAGTGAAATATAGCAATTAAAACTGAGCTAGGACGGTCTTTTCGCGATCATCACTATAAGTGGCACATGGATTGCATTGTTTATTTATTTGAGGGAAAAGCACTTTTTATGGTTTTTTTTTATCAAATATACACATTACTACACGATAGAGTAACCTTTTATTGGTTTGTCTTGTAAGAATCATGTTAATTTTATTAACAGTTAAATTTTGAGTTAAAGTTCCTTTCCTATCGATTCTTAACTTCAACTTACCACTTCCGGCCAGAACGTAGTTTTAGAATCACGTCTGAATACATAATGAGGAAGAGCGGTATTTAACCGCGAAGTTCTTCGGCCTTAGAGAGAGAGTTACCAGGTATTCTGGCTGCACGCGTCCGCCTTTTTAGGCTACTCTCTCGTAAGCTATTATCACGTTCGGCCGTACTTTAGGCCCTTGATAGCTTCGCAGTCTATTAACGTTTAGGGGGCAACTCTGTTAGAATTTTGATAGTTTCGGCTATACCTCTTTAGTTTAGATTAGTTTAGTTAATTCTTGGTATCTCAAGTTCAAGCCGAAGAGTCGGCTTTATTGTACACTCCAAGACGGAGTTTTGTTAAACTTTAGTTGGAATAATAAACGGTTAGTTTACCCTTCTATCTTGTTGTTTCCTGTCACACGAACTCAAGCGATTATTCGCTTACCAGTTCTTAAGATTCTTCACTTCCAACAGTAACTTAATTAGTAATTACAAAGTGAGGAACTCTACAGTCTTTATTGCAGGATTAGACTAAAATGTTAGTTATTTTAACGATTAGTTTTTATTTAAGAATTTATTTAATTTTATAGTTAAGACAGAATAAGATATTTAATTAGTTTTGTATTTAAGGGGGAAAAAAAGGAAAATGCACTTTAAATGTGCTATGAAGAATATAAAGCATTTTAATATTTTAATATTATCTTGTTTAATGCTGGCTAAGTCTTCTTGCATATAATTTATCGATGAAACTTTATTTGTGCTTCTTACATGCATGTCGCATTTTATATAAAGTTCGCTACCATGCACAATACATTTTAAAATATGTTATAGTTCGACAGCCTTGAAAACAGCCTTGGCAGTAAAAAAGGAAACCGATCAATCCAAATCGACTAACCGCGTAGATGTGGTGCAGCATTTATGCAGAAGTTACCTAGATCGTAGTTTATTTTAAAGTGACATTTGCTAATATTGTGGTCTTTTGTGTAAGCGTTAGCTTGCTTTTATCGTTAAAATGAGTTCAGTTAACAAAAAGAAGGCATTTAACAGTGGTGACAAGAAACTGCTACATAATGTCATTATATTTTATGACAGGGAAGCTGAGAATGAAGAACTTAACATTCCCATCTCACAGCTCACGAAAAGAGCCAGCAACATTGCAGAAGTATCGCTGACGACGATAAAGAAAATTCGCCAAGAGGCAGAAAGGGAGGAGAAAGATTGAGTTTTCAATTCCCAAAGGGAAAAAAAAAGATCAAAAAGGAAATATTAGATAGGGTTGGTTTAGATGGCTTTGAATCCAATGTAATTTGACGAACTGTTCGTAAATTTGATATTAAGGAGGAAAAAATTCCATCACTTTCAGAATTACATCCTGGGTTGCAATAAAAGATAGATTTTAAATGGAAACAAGGAACATTATGAAATATACAGCATAATATTGGATTTTTATGAAGAAAAAGCCAAAGCAAGAGAAAAGATTTAATTGAAAGACGTGACACTGTGCTAAAAAACACAGTAGCTTAAAAAAGTGAGGTAATTTCGTCGTCAAAGAAGACTTTTCATTTACTTGGACGAAACCTGGGTGGACAACAACATGACATTCTCAAATGTTGGAAATCTAAAATAGTTTTGGTGTCGTACAGACCGGCAATGCATCTAAAAGAATTATTGTTTTATGTGTTGGAGGCGATATGGGAATTTTTTTCCCTCATACGTCTCGAGTATGCGAAGCAAATACCACATCGGAGACTATCACGGGCAAACGAATTCTTCTGTTTCTGAAAAGTGGACTTCTGAAAACCTCACTCCGAAGTTTCAGCCAAATGCTATCGCGATTTTCGACAATGCATTATACCACACTATCCATTAAATAAATGCCCAACTATGGCAAGTGAAAAAGAAGAAATTTTGTAGGAGTTACTTAACAAAAATGTACAGTTATCTCCAATTTTACGTAGAGTTAATGGAGCTTATGAAACAAAATGCTTCTAAAGAAACGTCATAAATTTGATTCAATACTCGAAGAATATAGTTTTACCACTTTACGTCTGTCCCCGTGCTACTGGAACATTGATGCAACTGAATTCATATGCGGTGAAATAAAGCAATTTGTACGGAACTGCAACACAACTAGAGACATGGCAATGGATAAATTAATTACTGAAGAAGTTCTTGAAAATGCAACGACAGAAAACTGGAAGAAGTACTGCACCCATGCAGAAAGCGTAGAAACTGACTGCTGCTGCAAAAAAATGGTTTAATCGGAGATTTATACGAGTCTCTAATTATTACTTCTGATGAAGAGGATGACAACTTGACTATGTATAGTGACTGTGATACAGAATAATAAGAAGTATAAGTTCCCCCCTCCCACCCCAGTATATGTAATACTGCTTTTACATCAAAAATCAAAGAGATATAATAATTATTTATTACTGTATAGTTATTATAATCACTTAAATAACTATAATAATTATTTAATATTGTATAATCATTATGATTAATTAATAGAAACTTTTTGGTTTGCAATAATACACACATTTACTCTAAGATAAAAAAAGAAATAATATCTATTATAACATAATTATAATAATTATTTATTGCCGTATAATTGTTATAATTATTATAACAAAACTTAGGTTGTATAAATCATTGTAGCAATAGTATAATTTTAAAAAATCATACTATAAAATATACAGTTGAATAGTTATAGTTACAATTATAATATAATAAAATTTACTTACTTTATTTTATTAAAAAATAATGTATTTACAGGAAAACTAATTTGGAAAACCCTTGTATTTTTACGAATATATATAAATAAATGCAAAAAATTAAACGCAATGTTATAAAACAGCTAATAATAAATGATGATCAGCATCTCAGCTAAGACTACTTAAAAGTAATTTTGTCTTCTTATGTCTGTGCTCTTTGAAGGCCGTGGAAATAAACAGGGTAAAAATAAGAACGGAAAAAATCCCTACAACTTGATTCCACCCACCCTATTTTGAGAAAAAAATCGGTCGCACGTGTGTTTTCGCTAATGGTCGTGGTTAAGGTGGTCGAATTATACTTGCGGATACAGGGATAGTTGTTGGGTTTTATATTTGTTGCTTTTTTGAGAGTCAGCATAATGCTTGATAAATTATTCAAGTTTAGTTTAGTCAATTTTTTTTTAAATTTTAGAGCGCTTTTCTAGCTAATTTGTAGTTCTTAAAAAAATTTCCCGGTTTAACTATATATACAATTTTAATCTGAAAATTTCTATAAGCCTGTTGATTTAAAATTAACGAGCTTAACTTCACTGACCATCTTTATTGATAAAATAATACTAGTATGGATTGGTTTGTATTACTTAGATTATGGGGAAACAAGCGAGGGCTATAAGTCTAAGAGAAGGAAGGCCATCATGGAATACATTTTAAGAGAAACTGACAGGGAAAAACAAGAAAACTCCTTCGCAGCCAGCCCCTTGGTCCAAATTTTAAAGCCGAGTCAAACTGCCAGATTTTAGCTGTTTTATCGCTTGGTCGTTTGTAGGTCAACTAATGCTTTGAACCAAACTACCTTCTCAAGAGATGCCTCAAGCATTTGGTTTATTTGATTAATTTCAAAGCATTTGAATGCTATCTGATATCTGCCTAAGATGCCTTCGTGGAGGACTTTCTAAAGGGAACTGACTCGGATGCCTCGAGGAAGGAAAATTATAAGGAACTGTTTCATAGTTTTGTTACATTTATCTTTAAAATAAGAGCAGGACTCAATAAATTCAGAAGATTACATGCAAGTCCAAAAAGATCTGTTCAAATATGTTTTGAGTAAAAACAGAAAAGACCTAAAATTTCCATAATTCTGATTACAACAAAAACTAAAACCGAAGTTTACTGGGATTTTGGGTTGTGCAAAGATTTTAGTTAAAACTTAGTTTTCCCCCTAACTTTTAGATTTTAAGAGAACTATAACTAATGAGCAAAAATATTTAATATGTGAATATATTATTGACTCCTTTATGAATAATTTTGACCTTTCTCAATCAGTAAAATAACAATCAAAATTTGATTGCAGGCTAATTTTCACATTTTTTGATTCATTGATCTTATTTGCTGGTTGATCAACTTTAACACAAAGTAAGATCAGGAAGATTGACACTATTCTTCCTTCTTTTGAACCTCAATTGATTAATTCCTTCGGGACTTGTCAACTGGAATAAGTCAGGTAACAATGGACAGAATTCATTGGATAGGGTTTTATGCACCTAGATTTCTACTGAACTGAAATAAATTCACCCTATTTTTCTTACATGAGAATAATGTACTCACATTTGAAAGAAAAAAGTTCACTGAGAAAATAAAGTAATTTTTTTTTTCTTAATTCTGTATGTTTGACTTTAGAAATTCTTACAATCTAGTGTTCCCATTTTTTGCATAAATATGTTGTGTTACCATAAACGTGAATCATCCAGGCCATCTGCAAAACGGCCATCTATTGCCAATTTTGTAGTAAATCTTTAACTTGTGTTTCTTGGTAAATTGCTTAATCATCTTAACAGTCCTTACCAAACCTAGCGCCTCATACCTTTACTTTCAAATTATGACTCTAACATTATATGTCAGCGCAAGTATTCTTCTAGTGAATTTGTAAAACTGAGAGAATTTAAAATGTAGATATTTCTTATTCTTAATTATTTTTAATGTTTAATAAAATAGATGCTTCTAAATCGTTTTTACTTCATTTTATTTTGAAATAATGTATCTGTTGGATGTAATTTATATCTATCTAATAAATTTTTATCAATGTGCATACTGTCATGTTATGCTATTGATTACAGAATGATATAGATGTGAACAGCACAGTTACGAATTCCCTGAATTTTAATTTATTATTACCAGTCGCTTGTGCTATTTAATTTATAACTTTTATTCTTCGGTTTTAATCGCAATAATTTTGAGATTCTTTATATTAAAGATAAAAAAAATGCCGTACCCATGGATAATATTTAAATAAAGATATGAATTTAATGTTCTTTGATGTAAATGTTTTCATTTCATTATTATTAACAGTCGGTTTAGTACGATTTATTTAGAAATATTTTTAGAAATATATAAATTTAGAAGGCAACACAAATTATACTCCTCTTTCAAGTAAAAAGGTTCAAAATGCCTTCCCACGGAAAATTTATCTCTCATTCAGTGCAGTGCGTATTGAGACATGTATAACCTTTTGATTCTGGTAAAAGGCTGTTCTTTTAAAGAGTAGTTTAGTTTCCTTATATGAAAGCGTAAAACTTATACATAGAGGATAACGATTGAAGAGTTGCTTTTCCGATAAAGTTTGTTAAATGCAGTGAAGGAATCAAGACCGTAACTTATTTCATTCTATTGCTGAAAAATTCATACAATACGTTTCACTTCCCATTTCTTGAAAAAACTAGCTTTAAGTTACACAGATTAAAATTTACGTTGGGTACTGCATACTTTTACAAAACAAATAGAAATAGTACTGATGATTGGCGTATAATATTTATCAATATAAATAATTCATTTACTTCGAAAGTCATGTGCTTTTTTTCCCCATTAAATGTTATCTTCTGCTTGCAGCGTTTGCAATTGTAACTTAAGATCTTTTCATAGCACTGACCACAATAGAGCTCATCGTCCTTCTCGTAGCCTTTGTTATCCTCCAGAAGTTCATCACAGGCGAAGCAACGTAGGTGGTCGCTATGGTAATAAACATCATGACCTTTCACATAGCGAGATGCGAATATGAGTTCGTCACAAGCATGACACCTTGAAAAAAGCACGATAATTTTCTAGAGTAGCAAAAGTGATATAATAGGCATCTTCTTTCCAGTCATCTTAAAATAATTTGGTTTATAAATGATATAATCTTATAAAAAAAATGGACTAAAAGATTAAAAAAATCCTTTGAATAAGTAATTGCACCGCATTTAATTAATATATTTGATAAGTCTTGAATGAAAGAAAGTCTATTTCACTTCTGCAAAAGACAAGTTTTATGCCAACTCAGATTACCCAAGAAATAAATAATTAGCCATGCGTGGAAATTTGAGGACGGCATAAAAATTCTTTTAAAAATAACTGCGCGTGTAATTTGAAAATGCATCAAATGGTAATTTATGAAAGACAATCTTTACGTCAAAGAAATGTGAATTCAATTTGGATTTCTTAGTATATGAAAAATAAATACTTAAATAATAACAACAGAACTCGCAGATTTCATAACACATGAAGAAGTTTGAAAAATTCGGCGCATCAACAAAATTATTTGTTGCTTTAGACATGAAACGTCAGCTTCAAGAAATTTTGGAATGTACTTTTAGGTAGTTGTTTAATCTTCTGGAAAAGCGTTCATGTTTGTCGCGATCACTTAATAACTAATCTTAAAGCAAATTATTAGATTAAATTTAAAACAACTCATCGTAACACTAGAAATCCTAAATTTAGAGTCGGGGTTAAAACATTTTTGATCAGTTATGCGTTGTAAACAAAGTATTCCAAACAAGAGAGACAACTGCCAATATGAGAATATAAATTATCAAAATCAGTTATGAAATACCCGATCATATTTAATAACTATTAAGTTGAAAGGAACTTAAAAGTAACTGGTCATTACACGGAAAACAATTTGAGATGATAAATTTATAGCAATACTTCAGGATATAAACAAATCATACCTGAATTTCATTTTTTCACAATAATGTCGAATACAATAGACATCTCCTTTCACATCTATGCAATGGATAAGGTCTACTAAGAATTCAAGGCATACAGAACAGACGAAGCAAGATGGATGATAGACTCTTGCACTTCCTGCTGCTGGTAGGACAACTAGTTCTGCTCCTTCAATTAACAGCAAACAAGTTGGACATTGCAAAGGCATCCCCTTTTTCCACCTCTGAAATTCAGCAGAAATTAAATTAAGAATTCATAGGGTGATAGAAATATTTATGTGAAGAAGATTATATCCGTTTGAGTTAGTGTACAGGAAAAGTTTCGAAGAAATTGATACAGTTGTCCAACTATATGCTAATACTAATATAAGGTATTTTTTCTCTCTCGCCGTTGTGGTGTAACCGAATAGAACTGCCTGCTAGCATCGGGAGGTCCAGGTGTTCGAATTCCGGCCAGACCACTGCACATTTTTTACGTTCTTGCATTGATATAACCTAATGACTGTACAAGTGGCCCCCAAACAAACTAAAAAGTTGATAGACGTTAATTCGTTACCACGGAGATATGGCTACTGGGACTCCTCATCCCGAATAGCCCTTTTAAAGGGAGTTATATGTGGTATTTCCTCCCTTCTTTCCGCGTGGCTTTCGTGGTGTAACAAGATAGCACGTCTGGCTAGCATTGAGAGGTCCGGTAAGGGCATTGCACACTTTTCATGTTCTTGCATCGACATAACTTAATGATTCCACAACTTATCTTTTCTATTGTAGTGTTTATTTGATGCAACCAGTCATTGTTTAACACATTAACGGGGTCATGACAAAACTCATTTCAAAATAAAATAAAGTAAAAATGATAGATACGTCTAAATCATTTTTAGTCCAAAGGGGCTTTGTCCCTGAAGGACTATTGTTTTCGTTTTGTGATTTTGCGTCGGACTCCTATAAATGTCGGTTCACTTTTCAAACTGTTGCCACAAAATGTTAGAGTCCTGCATTATATTTGAAGAAATTAAATAATGAAAAATCTGCATAAATGATTGTCTATTTCTCGCATTGTGATAAAACAATGGTACATAGAGTCATCGAATTTTGAATGACGAAATCCTACTGCGAATATGGGCATCTGAAATCCCAAATTTGGAATTTGTTTTATTATAGATTTTGTATTTTGTAAAACTTTAACGAATTTTTGATTTACAAACTCAATGCTTTAAAAGCGAGAAATGGCAACGTTATATGGAAAAAAAATACTTTTATCTCCAGCTCGCGAGACTGTGTATATCGAAAATTCTAAAGATATGCTTAATTTAACATTATTTTGCGATATTGCTCTTGAACTGAATTTTATGGTTTAAGTGCAAAGAACATGATATTTAATAAATAAAGGTAACACTCAAAACGTTAAAAAAACGCCCCTTTGGACGAAATTTAAAATCTGAAAAATTTTCAGATTTTTTTTTTTTTTTTTTTTTTTACTTCATTTTATTTTGAAATAATGTATCTGTTGGATGTAATTTATATCTATCTAATAATTTTTTATCAATGCGCATACTGTCATATGTTACGCTCAATGACAATGAGTTTTGTCTAATGAGCCTTTTAACAAAATATACAAGTTGAAAAGAACAAGAACAGGATCAAATCAAGAAGTAACAGGATCTACTCCCTTCTATTCTTCTTCAAGCAGTCGATTCTTATTCTCTTCGGTGGATTTAAAATGGCTCGAGCGCCATTTAATGTAGTGAAATATTTGGAGCAGATGCTTCCTAGATTTTACAGAACAATATCAGATTAAGTCAGCAGCTCACAAAATGTTTCATTTCCATACATCCTTAATGTAATGGGTTTTCTTCACAGCTCGCAGTCGGTGTATAAGCTTAGTTGCAATGTGGAGTTGTTCAGGAAAACATGAACGAAATAGGTATCCTAAATTCACTAACGATTTGTATTAAAAGATTTAAATATACTATATTAAGCAATAATATCAATGAATAGTTAAATATGAATTATAGATTATTAAGCACAGGGAGCATAGCAGGAAGGCTGAATTTGTTGTTCGTTGCAGATCTTCTAATTTATAGTATACCTTCCTTAATTTTCATTACTGAAAGTCTCATTAATTTGTAGTAGCAAAGATCAGTTTTTGAATGTGTGGGTATGAGCGTGCATGTATTACATAACAGCGTACAAAAGAGCAGAGACAGATACACCCAACGCTACAAAATCTGGCAAACGAAGCGATTGTTTTCAAAATTCGATTTTCAATCTTTTTTTATTGAATATTAAAGCAATTTTTTTGAATTTTTCGCACATATCTTCGCTTAACGAACAAACAGTTTCAAAATTTACTGCTTATACCATCGGAGAGAGCAGAATAATTCTAAAAAGGAAGTATGTTCTAAATCTCTAACACAGATTACCAACTTTTGTGGTTTCTTATATTCTTTTGGCCGAGCTTTAGGAACTTTTGTTTGATTTTTGTTCATTGTACGACCATTATTTTAAAGTGCTAAATTTCAACATAAAAAAATTATGTATCATTAGATTTTAAAATTATGAAATAAGCCCTCTGTTGTTATTTTAAAAAGGAAGGGTAAAAAATATTAATGAGGCAATGTTTTAACCTCCCTTCCCTAATATATCGCATAAAGATTTCGTTGCTTCAAGACAATAACCTTCTTTTAACATTATACATTATATTTCGATGTTCAGTGCATTTGTCTGAAAGAAAGCAGATAACAGTTTGTATACATATGTTTTAATTCTCTTTTTACGGTTAAATTTTCCGCATTAGAACTGTGCACATTTTTAATACTTTATGCTTCGTTTAGAAACAGTATTTTCCTCCGTGCGAACAACCGCTAGTGTTGAATAAAACTTGCAAATTTGTAGAAAGATAAAAACAAGAGCTAAAATTTACGTGGTCATAATAGCATTCAATTGATTCAAACTTCAATATATTGAGGTCATGGAGACAGCTGTTATACACAGACCTAAGCAATGAGATGTTCATGACCTGACTAGAACAATATTGTCATTAAATTCACTTTAATACGCTGAGTGCCATTCACACCTGTTCACCTAGAAGCTCCGTAGCAATCTCTATACTTCAGTGACTAAAACAATCTAGATTTCAAGATTTTATTAAAATTCTGACATGCTGCACAATCTAACACTTCTACTAAAAAACAAAATAATTAATGATCTGCTTGGTGTTCATTTGATGTAATTCCAGTTATTACATCAACGCATTGATGGTTTGATTCAAAACACATAGGAAACGTGTCGCTATAATGACTCTTGTTTTACATGGCGGCACTTACAATGAAACTGTCCCTATATAGCCTTTCCCAATAAATTCAATAATTTTTAGTTGAGATTGTTTATCATTTTATAGTTCATACTATTATACCATTATCGATAAAATCATTTTCATTTCCTCGCCTAATAATCATTCGAACACACTAAATCTGATTGATGGCATCATATGTCTGATAATCGTACTAAATGGTGCACAGAGCTACGTTTTCTTATTTATGTTGTTTGATAAGAAACAAACATGATATATTATACAAAAGACATCAGTAATTGGGATATTTCCTCTTAAAATTCAATAGAATTTTCATTGGATGATTGATGCTATAACCAATGAATATTTAAAATTTTGCTTTGTATTTAAGCGATAAAATATGGTATGATGGCGCTAAGTACTTTTATATTTTTCAAGAGAAAAACTCTTTACTAAATTGCTTCGAAACACATTGACAATTTGTCTAATATTAATGTTAATTTAAGCAGAATTCCGAGCAGATTTAAATTTGAGATTATGACTCTGTTGTATATCTACTAAATAAGCAAATCTTCGTCGTAATGATTGTGAAATAAGATGTGATAAGTGGTTCAGATGTCAGAGTTATATTTATGCAATCACATTCTCTTTATTTCCCCATTTACTTGATTCCAAATTTGGAATTTACTATAAAATAAAACTTAAGAAGGAAGCTTCTTTCAAGAAAAATACCTCAGCAAATCCAATTCTTAAAGATAAATGTTTTAAGTCTCTATGGAGAGCTGCTACATCCTGTGCATCCTCTGGATTGACGAAGCGGCAATGATCTGGAGATATGTCAGAAAGAGGAATTTGCTTTATAATTTGTCTCAACCGATACTCTTGTCCTTCATAACTGACTTTTGGTATCTGATAGAAAAGTGGAAAAAATTAGAACAATTTTCTTTAACGATTAACAAAAGCAGAGGTAATCTTAAATAAAATTTTTAATGGAATTGCTAAGAGTTAAAGTCTTTGATTTTTAATAGGATTATTTTGTGATAAATATCTTTTAAATCGATTGTGTTTCTCATTAGCCCCCAAATATTATTTTTTTTAAGTTAGATAAATAATATAAACGTTTTAAGATTTATCTGGTCATTTTAGGTAAAATTATATAAAAAAAAAGAGAACATAAATTTTTTAACCTTTTAAAGTGAAAATTAACAGTAATTATTACTATTTATTATAATTTATTTTTCCTATGGTTAAAAGTAAAATATATCGGTATCCTAAATTACTAGACGCACAAAAATAATTGTTTTTCAAGAAGAAAGCAATCAGTTTGTTTCGCTTTTTATGTTATGAGTAAAAAAAAAATCAGATTTAAGCAATCAATTTCTAAAATGCAAATCTGCTTAAAATCGTCACAAAGGCTTGTACAGACAGACATTAGGAGTTTTTTGGAAGCAGGGAAGGTGAAAATTTAGCAACTGCCTACGCCGGGAATCGAACCACGGACCTCTGGAATACCGGCCCAGCGTGCAGAACCACTACACCACGAAGGCATGCTAGAAAAGCGGGAGAAATACCTTATAGGCTTTACAGAAAGTATATCTATTTGTGAAATTAAGTAATGCATGATTTAATTTCAATCTTTTTCAAGTTAAAGCAACTTTTATGCCCCCGAAGTACTATTTGAAAGAATTGCTCAAGTGAAATGCTGAAGGCCCTTTTCAGAAGCAAGATAAATAGCAAAATGCCTGATGTCTCTAAGATAGAAAAATCTGTACTCTTTGGAAACAAATTAAAGGCTCTGAAACTGTTGCTAAGAAGCCAGGAAAAATCACAGAAGAAACACCACTGTTTTTCAATTTGATATCTGTTTTGAAATATTCTTCCCACTAGGAACTTGAATATTTGGCAACGGAATTCATTGTGTTACTAAAACTTTTAAATTTCGGTAAAGTATATATAGAAAACTTAACTAGAAATGCCTTTAATCAACCGTTCCAAAAACATTCAATATTTTGTGTTTCATGATATTGTCTATACAAAGAAAATGTCCTACTATATTTGTACAGAGAACATTGGTGCTGGATCTGGTACTAGTGCTGCTGGATTGTTGGAATTTGGAGCAAAAAGTCTAAGCTCTCTTCAGTGTTAAAGGTGTTCGGTTTAGTTTAACATATAATTCTAAACCTGCTTTCATCCGGAGAGCTCGAAATATTCTTACCATCACTGAGGATATTTTGGCGGTTATTTTTAATTGGTATGGAATGAAATATCATGTACAGGAGATATAGCATTGCATGAACAGAAGATTTTGTTTGCCCAAAGATACTTAGTTATATTTTTGCAGCGGAGTTTACTTTTTTTTTTTTTTTTGACTGATAACTCGCAGCGTTGAGCAAATCTAGTTTCTGAATTTTTTAACAGAAGGCTTTGAACGAAGAAAGAGGCCAGCCAAGTCTTCCGATTTGGATCTTATACAGAATTTGCGAGAATTTGTTAGAAATTACCTTATAGCACATAAGTTAGAAAAACTTATGTGCTATAAGGTATTCTCTCTTTGCACAATTTTGTAACAAAAAGAGATTTATTATCTAAAGTCATGACGTGAATTAGCAATAAGACAGTATTATAATTTAAACAAATGTATCAAACCATCTTAATGAAGAATTAGTATAACTACTTTCGATTAAATACCTTAAATGGGGGCTCTCGGTTATCATAGAATTAGAGAATCCATTATAGGCAAAACAAATCCCTAAATCAGTGAAGGAATATGATTATGAGAAGGGCTGGCATAAGGGTACGCAAAATTGACAGTACGCATTTCGAAAGTTTCAGCGTAACTTTTCCTTTTAATGAAAATAAAACCGTGAAGGAAAAAATTAACCAACGAGGGCTGGCATAATGGTACGCAAAATTGACAGTACGCATTTCGAAAGTTTCAGCGTAACTTTTCCTTTTAATGAAAATAAAACCGTGCAGGAAAAAATTACGGAAAACATTCGAAAAGATTATGCAAGAAACCGATAGTATAATGATAGGATTGCTACGCTGATATGATGTATTGATAGAAAAAATTCTTCGAAACAATGGAAGAATCGAACCGTTTAAAATCTAAAAGTAAAAAATTTAAATTATGGAAAAATTCCATATTATGTAACTTTCAAAAATGAAAACGATTTTTCTTTCAATTTTGGCAGCAAAAATGGATAATATGACTTTTCTACCAATAGTGCTATATAGTGAATGATTTACGATTTTTTTAAGTATATGTTTCTGTTTCATGTTTCTTGATGCAAAATTTGTAGGCTCGGAAGATTTGAAGGAAGTACACTAGGAAATAAATGGTGTAAAAATGGAAAATAATTCATATATGGAATAGGTCTTTGGAGAACAAAAAATACGCGAATTTAATTTTATTAACAAGGTGAAAAACTAACATGAAAAATTAAAATCATTTAAAATATGAGCAATCTTTTGACTAATTAATTAGTAAGGGATGTAGGAATGGGATAATAGCAAATGATGATCGTTTAAACAATGTTTGTTACTGGAACAACTTGAAAACTTCTTAACTCGTCGAAAGTTTGCTTCTTATGGCGACTGAGTTTCATTATATTATTCACAACTAAAAGCCGATAGTGCCAAAATCTTTTAAAAAAGTGCTATTAATTTTACATCCAATACACCAATTTGCCGTTTTCCTTTCCTTAATCAATATATTACGAAGTATCTTTTTCAGGTGTTAAAGGTGTAATTTTATCACGAATTCCTTATCAACATTTAATTGTTCAAAGTGGGAACTACTGTATTAAGGATGGTACTATCCTAAAAGTCATCTTCCTCTTGTAATGATTGTTATATTAAGGATGGTTACTACTCTGAAAGACATTTTCCCCATGTACCTTTTCTTCAGGAAATCCTTGGAAAAACTCCTCCGCACAGTCGGATGGACATCGCAGAGGAAGCCATGTATAGATGTCACTTTGTACAGAATCTTCTGAAATGTTAGCTATATTCTTGACAACTTTAGGTATCACTGAGATATCTTCTTCATCTAAGATATGGTCTTCCCTGAGATTTCTACAGTTTTTGCAAAGTTTACGGGTGGGATGTAATGTGAAGCTCCTACAGACGGATTTTGTTTGCATGCTGGAATGCTAAACCTGAAATGAATCCACAGTAAATCATAAAAATTGTCCAAGATTTATTAATTTGCTAAATAAGGAGTTTTAAAACAATTTCACATGTTCTTAGTGTTAATACGCAGTATTATTTCTAACGAATAATTTGGAAATACAGTGGATTCTCGAATATCCGGGTGCAGATTAACCGGTTTGCGGATTATCCGTAAGTGGTTGTGGCCACGCACGCACACTAAACGCTATGACGACACACTTAACGCTAAACTCATACACGCACACAATGCTAAACAAACACGCGCAAATTTGAGCGCGGAGAAGAATTTTTCTTAATGCAAAAATTGGAGATTTATCTAATTGAGAAGAAGCTGAGGTAATGACTGAAGTTATTACTACAACATATTTAAAAAAAAAAAATTAAAAAAGATTTTGGCATACCAAAAATTTAAAATGTAAAATTCTTCGAAAATGGCGATCGCGAAAAATCTAGAAATGGTTCGATAACTGCTCGACGAAGCCAGACCTTCAATGCTTAAGGATGAGTATACCGTTTCAAATGTCACAAGAACACAAGAGGCAGAGAGTGATATTCAAAATACAAACTAAAAATATTCTGACAATTTACTACATGATTTTAGAGATAGCAATGACTTCTGTTGAGACATTGAAATCCGACAGATATTTAACGGTTCTCAAAAACAAAGTGGGAAAGTTGGAAATGATTAAAATTTGGAATTTGCCTTCTTTAGGCACAAAACATGCATGAAAAGGGATAATTTGGATTATCTGTGTTATTTTGCTTCCCAGGCATTAGCCGAGATAATCCAAAGTACAAGGTATTCAGTTTTTAATAATTTAGCTGTATTATACAAGATCTATCATGCGGAGGTTTCTAGTAGTTAGTTCTCGAAATTTTCTGCTATTAAAAAAGAAACTGCATTAAAGATGTCTGTATAAATTATACAATTATTGGCATGCTTGCGCATATGATATATTCTTATTGTCCCATATACTTACACAGTAGTTAATGAAATGAAAGTTCCATTAAAAATTGTAAAATAATTTAATTCTTATTTGATGCATTGTGTTAAAGGAGATAAGGAAAAATTGTGGAATACAAACATACAAACACATTGACAGAAACAGCTGTCATTAAGCTTAACATAATAGATAATAATAAACTAAAAATAGTAGTCCTTTTTTTATCTTCAGTCACTATTGAATGACTTATCAGAAGATTTACTGGTTTTTCCTTCGCGTAATGTGAGTACGAGCAACCTTTCCTTGAAAGACTCTCTGTGAAGGCATTCCAGCCTTAGGTAGATATCTCAGAGATGCTTTGAAACATTCTAAATAATTCAACTCACTCTGCGGTGTTATAGTGAATTTCCAAAATATATAAAACGCGTATTAAGCAATTTTGCTAAGTCATTGTAAAACATATTTTGGATATAATTATTGATAATTTACAACCTAATATTGCTGGTCCAAGCGCATGGAATGCCAACATTATAGAGTGGCGCTACTTATACAGCAGTCTTAAAAGACAACTGATTTTATAAATATCAAATATTTCGAAAAATATGTGTCATTTGGATTTAACTTTTTGGTACTTAAATATCATTCCGTTCGCCAGGAAATTATCACCAAGCAGCGCGATTTAGAGGAATTATGGATAAGCCCGAAATAGCAGCACACTCCTAGCATCTGCGCTATCGTTTGATGTAACCCGATGGATTCTCGATGAGCCACTTTTTTGTTTTTATAAACAAGAATACAAAGTACCTGTTACTGCTGTATTTTTTCCTTGTATTTTAAAAGAACTGATCAAAATTTGGAACTTGCCTTCTACAAAAGAACAAGCAGAGGATCATTTACAAAATTATAGGATCTTACAATCACAAAAGGGTGTGTTAATGGGCGCGTTATAGTCAGCTGTACGGCCGACAAAGGAGTAATAGATTGGAAGTTTGTATTTCTAGCATTCTAAACTTCCGGTAAAATCGGAGGACTTCCATAAAATAGTAGAAATCGACGAAAGACTTTTTATGAACCTCAGAAACGAAGCAGGTCGAATACTGACTGCATATTAAATACAGAAGTGATAGCTTCTTCAGAATTCCGTACGAACGATTGGCGCAACTTCGGCGGGATTTCTACTAGATTTTGTAGTTCGATGGATGCCAACATTCACGGTCGACGGGGTAATAGGTAAGTACTAATTAGTTTAGAAGACTTTATAAAAATAAATTACTCTTACAATTTATATGAAATAAAGTTTCGCACTTGTTAGTGTCATAGCTATTTTCGAACCGTGAAATTTAAAATTGCGTTAACATGCAGTACCACTGTATACCAATTAGCCAACATAATTAATTTTATCTTCCGGTATAAATAAAGGAGTATACCCTAATTGTTGTAGTTTTACTGACATTTATGATCCATAATGTTGATGTAATGAGAGTCAGCTTTACATTTTTAGCTGTCATAAGCGCAAATGTGAACCTACTCTAAAACGATAAATATTCACGTGGCATCTAAAGGGTTAAGCTTTATTTTAGAAACTTAATTCCATTAGATCCAAGCATATTTGAAATAGCTTCCATATAAGCTATTGCAAACACTTTATACTCTTTAATGATAGAAAACTTGAAGTTTTTATAGCTACTTTTGGAAGCACCAACTAGATACTAGAGTAACATTCGATTCACAGTATTGTTTGCTCTTGAACAGTGCGGAGATCAATAGCACCGATGAATACAAAAGTACAATTTTGATATTTAATAATAGTCTATTAACCGCTGGAATTTTATCTATAACATAAACCAATGATTCACGCATATTTGATATACTGTATATATTATGTACCATGCTCTTGCAAGTGAATTAGTATCGGTAAACTATTAAAAAGGTAAGGAAGAGAAACCATTGTGCTTATAAAAACATTATACATTGCCAAAAGAGTTAACTAAACGATTTTCTTCTTTGCTTGCAAGATGTCTGTCAATATATACTACATCAGCACTGTTTTATATGGTACCATAAATTTCCCCATCCTCTCACTAAAAGAAGTTATTATAATCACATCCTCCCAATGCGATTTATCATTAAATCGGGTAAAAGTTTCCATGGAAGTACATGGGACGAAAAAGCAGATAAGTAGTCAAAAGTGCTACAAGAAAAGACATAATCCACATAAAGATGAAGCGACGAAAAATGAAATACAGTGTGTAATCATCAAAGAGTGTAAGATTGAAGGGACGATTTTAACAGCTTCATAGATTTAAGAGCAGCTAAGGTAATTGTAGACCTCCACAAGAACAAAATCAACATAGTATGTATTTTAACGAAGTCAACCAGAATCAAACTGTCGAAATATTTATAACTGACACTAAAAAGTTTCAATTTTACCATATCCTGAAAGTTGCATGCTACTGTATGTATACTAATCAATGAAAGAGCTTTAATTTAATATGATTATTATAATAAAGAATTTAAAAGTTTAGTATATTTATTCCCAAAAGTACTTTGCAACGTTTGGCAATAAAATGTGTGATTAATCTTCAGCTGGGGGTAAGAAATTGTTGGCGACAAGATCTTGTGGCTTCGGCAGTTGTTGGTGATATATTTCCTCCTGCAATATTGAAACAAGCCACCGTATTTTATTAATTTTCGCCTTTATAATAGCTTTCAACTGCATATTTTATCAAGCTCTGAAATTTAATCAAATATTATTTAAATTTTTGTTGCTGAATATTATTGTGACATATTTTAATAAATAAGCTTTTTAACTGCCATTGCAATATATATTTTCTTAAATTTTCGGTACTTTCTTGTTCGGTACTTTCTTGTTAGAAAGGCCACCTTGTTTAGTTGACAAAATTAGAAAACTTGATCACCTAGACAGTACCTTGAAAATTTCAAAAATATAGCGAAAGACTTATGCGGCAGTTGCTTTGATTAGGAAGCACGAACTAGATACTAGAATAACATTCGATTCACAGTACTTCCGCTAAGTTATTTTTAATAACAAAACTATTTTAACAACTTTGCAACTTTAAGAAAATATGATAAAAATTAAGAGGTAACTTTTGTTAAGATTATATCTTACTAAGAGTAAAGTAGTACTAAAGTAGGATTATCTCTTACTAAGGGTGCATGTTGTCTTTGGCAATTCTTCTACAGACGTTGTCATTAAGGGAAAGTACAGTAATGATGTAACGATTGTAAATAAAACATCATTGGTATTCGTGAGAAATTATCGTGATTATAATTATTGCCAAATAAATTTCTTGCCAAAAATCGCAAACTTGTACTCACAACTGAAGATATTTTATAATTCAAGCATTTGGTACACAGGGTAATATTAACATACCTTTTGCTGAGATGCTTTTCTGTAAAAGTCAGTTGTAAGTCCTATTAACTGTGTGATATAAGCCTGCCACACTATATATTGAGCTCAGGCTACAATTTTTTAAGGTCATACCTTTGAAGTTTTAGATAACTAGGTTTTTTGAAATAACAACTTATTGACGGATATCGGGGAAATTTTTACGCGTTTTACACGTGCCTTAATTTTTGAAAAAAAAAAAAAAATAAATAAATAAAATAATTGCAATTTCTTTTACTTTTTCTAGTTAAATCGTATAAAGTAAAGCAAAGATTTACAAATGTATGATTAATTTTCCCCAATATGAGCCATTATTATAATCGCTTTTGATAAAAGAATAAATAAATTAAAATTGAATCAAACATAATTTTTCAGGAATAAAACCAGATATGTTTTAAAATGTAACCATAACCTCACTGTCTCTGCTACATTAAAATCACTATATAGTTACCTGCTTTAATTTATGCACGAGATAATTAATACTTAACAACTATTTTACATTGCTCCGATAAGATCTTATGAGAATATCCAATGACGTTTTTTCACTTCAAAACTTTGATATAAGATTAAGTAATTGTATTTTTCCTTGAGAATGCATATCTAATTCTTAACTATTAAATAACTTCATATTATAGAGCCATTAGGTTATCTTGAAGGAGAATTGAAAAATGCATAGTGCCCTCTCTGGGACTCGAACTCTGGACTTCTCGAATACCTGTCAAGTATGCTTCCAATTACACCACGAACGCGGAAAGGAAGGTGAAAATACTTTATATGCTCTCACTTTTATAAAAGGCGATTGGGGATTAGAGCGTCCAAGTCGCCAACTCCTAGTGGTGTACTGGTGGTTATTGTCCACCAACGTTTACTTCGGGCGCCACTTATAGAGTCATTAGATTGCTTGAAGCAGAAGACGTGAAAAATGTGCAGTGCCCTTGCTGAGACTCGAACTCTGGAACTCTCGAATAGGCGTCGAGTTTGCTTTCAGTTACACCACGAAGGCACGCACAAAGGAGGAGAAAATACCTTACGGTATTAAAATGAAGATTTCAGGCACTTTTACTTATATTGGTTATGATTTTTAACAAGAAAATTGATACGTTATTTTTTGAACTCTCCTATGATCGAGGTATAAATCCCTGAGAGTGGCTGGCTGCATGGGTTTTTCGTAGTTTTCCAGGTGCGTAACATGAATACGATCTAGTTTTTATCCTAAAGGTTTTCATGAAGACATCCCTTCTCTTAGCCATATACAGGGTGACCAAAGTAAAACTGGTTCGGAAAAAGTATATAGTTCTGACTTTTAATTTAATCCTTGCTAACGGACAGAACTGTCCTTCGCTACAAAGCCCGTTTCATGCCATTTTGTCATTATGTTTTCCGTTGTATATTTTTCTGGACATTTTGCCAAGACACTTCCATTCTTAAATATTTGCATGATGAGTTCAAATGAGCAAACAGTTCAGTACACGGTTTTCGCGAATTGTGCTTTACGTTATTGCATTCAACTGATCATTAAAAAATCTCTATTATGCTTTCTAATGATCTTTTTTACTCTTACAGTACATGAAATACCAAAAGCCTTTTCTGAACCAGCTCTGGTGTGCTTTGTCGCAATGAAAAAGGTTCACTCCGTCGTTCTTTGAAATGCTGAGAAATTAAATTATAACAATTTCTTAAAGTATGAGCATGTAGCTTTAATACCTAGCTGTAAAACACATTGTCAGTGTATTTCACTTTAAGGTTTCTGTGAATGGTAGAGCTTCAAACAAACCACTGAATATTTAAACTGAATATTAAGGGTGTTTCGAAACTCATGGGCAAAAATTTAAGGGGTGAAAGAAAATATCTAAGCAAACAGTTTTCACCATACCATGGATGGGCAGAAAGCAAGCGGTGAACCACTAGGAGGCACCCGTTACTGTCACACGAAAGAACGAAACATTAAAGGAGGTAGTAAATAATTTTATCGAAACTTGTGTGGCAAAATTACAGAATCCGCTCAAAAGAGCGAACGCCTGTGGTAATGTAAGCGTTACACCTGAAATATAACGAGCTGCTCACTATTTCAAGCGCACCAGGCATTTTTCGGTCGGCGATGGTAGCAACAGGCATCCTAGCAGCTACGTGCTTATTGGACTCGATGGGGATTTCATAGACGAGACTTTTCAAATGGGTACACAGGGAAAAGTCCAGACAGGAGAGATCGGGTGAGGGTGGCGGCCAAGGTGTGGACCCACCTCGAGCAATCCATTGCCCTGGGATTTCAGTGTCTAAAGTGCTCTGCACATCCAAGCTAATATGGTGTGATGCTCTGTCGTGCTGGAACCACATACGTGCTTGTGTGTTGAAGGCAACAGGCTGAAGCAACTCTGGCAAAAGCTGTTGTACAAATGTGAGGTATGTTCTATCGTCCAGTCGGAATGGCAGAAAGTATGGGCCGATCAAATGGTCACCCACCATTCTAGCCCAAACATTTAAGCTGAAACGACTCGAATATGCAGGGTGATGTGTGTATTACGGATTGGTAAAGGTGCATTCATAAGTGAATAACACACGTGTACTGAAATCAGGCTGCGCTGCTAGCTGTTGCAAAAATTAACGTACAAACTCGACACGTGGTGCATACTCTGCAGGTATCAAGACTTTTACTTTCTGCACATGGTAGGGGTGTAATCCTTCGTTCCGTAGTACTCACCAAACAATGGAGTCGGGTACATTTACGGCACAGAAAACCTCTCGTGTGCTAATATCCGGAAGATCTTCCACTCTTAACAAAATGTCTTTTACAACTTGTGGTGTCCGCACACTCCACCCACGCCTTGTTTTCTGCATGCCAGTGACGAACATTTTTCGGTCTGGCACCTATCTTCTCGGTAAACACTGCCTGTACAGTCTTTCGGTTTCCAAAGCATTCCCAATTCGCAAGGTCATGTATAAAATGCATATCCATCTCTTTCTGATTACTGTACGTCGACACACCTTCTGAAATCCACAGTAGAAAGGACAATATGTATGAAAACTCGCGCTTTATGCTGTCCATTACAGCGCCGTCTAGCGGTTCACCGCTTGCGCTCCGCTATGTATTATATGGTGAAATTGCTTGATTAAATTGCTTTTCTATCCCCCCTTATATGGTGAAATTGTTTTTCTATCCCCCTTTAATTTTTGCCTATGAGTTTCGAAATACCCTGTATACATCATTAAAATATAATTTATTCTGCGTAGTGTCCTCTTAGTATGAATCGTGGTAGACCAGAATGGTTTAACACTAAAAAAAGGGACTTTTTTATATATGTATCTGTATTCAGTTGCCCATGAAATGCACAAATTGACATTAAATCTTAATAATCTCATTTCCAATGTAGTTTACAGAAATTTTTAGAAAGTATTCTTGGAGTCCTTCATCCCATCTGAGACGAAGGCATCTTTCTATAGACAAATAATCTTCGAGTTGTTTTGCCTTAATAAATTAACGTAATCTAAACTCATTCTAAGAGCGTTATAGAACTACTATGCTGAATTCCTTTTCAGTTATAAGAGATATTAGAACTGAGATCCTTTTCATGCCCTGTAGCTTAGCCATTTTTACCACAAATACTTCGAAGAGATCGTTAGCTATTTTTCATAGGTAAGTATGAAAAAAACTGTTATGGCTGGAATTCGAACCACTGATCTTCCAATTCCAGTAGACTTTAATGCCACACTTAGGGGGTTATGTGAAGATATTGAGAATGTGGATGAAGCCAAGTTGAATGAAAACAGTGATGGTTGCTTCTTTCAACAAGATAGATCTATCATCCTTTACTATACAGACCAGTTCTTAAAAATGTCTCACTCATGCAGAGACGATCTGCGACAGTATTTCAATCAAAGTTTCCCACTCAGGGAGAATACGACTTAAGGAGTGAAAAGGAAATGCATTACTGTAATGACAAACCCTATAAAGTATTTTCTCACTCCTTTCCACATGCTTTCGTGATGCAGTTTGAAGTATATTCGACGCGTATTCAAGATGTTCAGGGTTCGAGTCTCGGCTAGGGCGTTACCCATTTTTCACGCCTCCTTCTTTAAAAAAACCTAATGAATCTACAAGTGGCGCCCAAACAGGGACTGGAACCCTGGACCTCCCGAATTTGCGTCGAGTATGCTTCCAGTTACACCACAAAGGCAATGCCGAAAGCAGGAAGAAAATATCTTACAGCTCAATCTTTGAATTTAAACCCCATGTGATTGTTTCTTACTGAAATTTGTCAAGAATACTATCTTTGTCTTTTCACTGTTCCTAGTAATCTACAGGATTTTCACAACCAATGCTATAGGATTTGTCAATTATGATAGACTGATACGAGTGAGGGATAACGATTTAAAGCATAAATATCTATGATCCAAGGAAAGGTGGACTCATTTAGCATTCGTAGAACAACCGAACATGTTTCCCTAGCATAATAAAATTTTTGTCAGCTGCGTAATTTTCTTACTAAGAAGTTTTAAATAGCTTCAGGAAATTCTGAATAAAATTGTATTTACGACTGCGAAAATTTTGCAGAACAGATTTAATTTTGATTATGTGTTCGCAGTTCGTATTTCTGTCTGAAAATTATGTATTTTACGATAATTCTAAACTTAAACACTCCGCAGTGTAGTACAAGTGGCGAAGAAAGAAAGTTTCAAAGCGTTAGAGGCTTACATGTTTGTTTTTATACAAGCAAAAACACTATGCTCTTACATGGGAATGAAATTTTTACATGAAATATTTACACATATTTACTCCCATTCACAGTACGTCCTTTAATCCCCTTAAATATTAACACGAAATTTAAAGTCCTTTACATGTTAAATAGCTCTGTTGTATTATCTCCGCGGCTTTCATTCATACTTCTGGAGTTTTGCATGACAAAAGCTGAGCGGTTAAATGCTAATCAATAGGCAAGCACGGAATGAATGTTATACACCTTATGAATTATTAAATATCGCTGCCAAAGCACGACAGTTTTGAGCTCCCTTCACTCTGTATCTCTCAGATTGTTAATATTCTCCCTAGTTGCTCGGAAATGCAGTCCGTTTCTAGCATTGTTTCCCATGCTTTGGAGTTTGTTAAGCGTTTTCGTTTACTTTA